TTCAACTCCTCCGCAGGATGTGGGCCACACCTGCTGGTGTGTCAGGGGGGATGGGGAGGTGGGGGCTTTCAGGAATCAGTACAGACACTTGAGTGAGAGCAGTGGTGTTACACTATCATGCTACAGTCCTGATAACGGATACATATTCCTTTGAAGCGGAGTTCTCAAAGTGAGGGTACTGAACTTCTGGGATTCCTTGAAACCATTTTAAGGGACCCTGAGTGTCAAAACTTTTCATAACAATACTAAGGTGTTACTTGGCCTTTTCCATTGTGTTGACATTTGGTGTAAAAGCCATTGTGGTTAAAGCTACTGATGTTGGCACACATCAAGGCAGGAACATCAAACCGTAGTAGTAGGCATCGTCTTCAAAGCACTCATTCCATCACTCAGCAAGTAAATAAAATTTTAAGAAATAAGTGGAACTGGCTCAAGTCCCCACTTGAGAACACATCATCTTTTTAGTATTCTGTGTGATGAGGCGGGAAGCATTTCTTCAGTACTGAAGTATGATAGTTGTCTCCAGGAAGAGCACTGGTGAGTTGTTTGAGTTGAGAGCCGAACTAGCCATATTTTTTTTTTTTTCATGGAATATCACTTTTACTTGGAAGAACAACTGACAGACATTGGCTATTCAGACTAGGGATTTGGCAGACTTGTTTTTCGAAATGAACCAAGTAAGCCTGACACTTTAAGGAAAACAACTGACAATATTTGTTGTCGATAAGAAACTTCAGATTTCAAGCAAAAACAGGATTTTAGAAAACTTGTATCTGCCATGGTAAGCTTGAGAGAAACACCCCCCGCCCGACCCCCAGTACTTAAAAGGCATTTCTGATGAGATTGGGGATGGGTAATATTAATAAATATGATTTGTTGATATTGTTTAATGTCAACATTTGGAAGGTTTGCATAGCTCAGTGATGCTAAAACATCATACACAGGTAACAGATCCATTCAAAGGTAAAATAGACCACTGTTTACTATAATAGAGTTATGAAAAGTTGAATGTGATGGTTTCACATTCTACATTGCAACTAAGCTTTAAGAAAATACCACTTGGCAGTCAGCCTCGCAGTGGTCCCCATGGCAGAGAGTGCAGTTGAGAGGAAGATCCGGCCTTCTTCCCTGGGCCCTCCAGGTCCTCCTGCCTCGGGGCCAGCAGGGGAGCTGAGGGGCCCGGGGACAGGCTCAGGGCTGTGTCCCCCGGCGTCCTCTCAACGGCCACCCACTGGCTGGGCCCGGGCCTTGAAGCAGCAGCGAACCTCCCTCCCCCATCCCACCTCCACGACGCGGTGACGGCGACTGTCTGCACGGCTCACAGCCCATGGAGGCCTCAGCAACTGGAGTATATATGGACACTGCCATTAAGGGTAACCAAATAGTTGATGAGGAGAAGTTTCTTTTTGTAGAAGCATTCAGCTAGCCAATAAGGAAGGAATGATAGAATATCATCATTTTGCAGCCCCTGATGAATGAATGGATCTTGACAATGCTCACCATTGGCCTTATGAAAAGACGTGCTCCTGAATAAAAAGGGACGTGAATCTGAAAAAAAAAAAAAGAAAAAAGAAAATACCACTTGGCAAGTTTCGGCATAGTAACAAACGATATCCACAATTATCTGGAAAGGCTATTAAGATACTCTTCCCTTTTCCAACTACCTATTTTGTGAAAGACTGGATTTTCTTTATACACTAGAGCAATAGAGTGAATGCAGATGCAGGTGTAAGAAGCCAGCCATCTTCTATTAAGCAAAAGATTAAAGATTTGCAAAAATGGAAAAAGTAGTGCCACTCTTCTCATATTTTTGTTTTAGGAAACTATGATTATTTATTTTTCATGAAGATTTTATTAGCACACAGTGGGTTTATTTCTATAATGTTTAATGAATCAGTAAATGAATACTTTAGAAATAACTATTTTCTAAGATGGTCAGTAGCAGATAATCTACATAAACATGTTTTATGTTTTAAAATATATTTAGTACTTTAACATTACTAAAAATATTTTTTATTGAAATATAGTTGATTTACAACTTTGTGGTGTTAATTTCTGCTATACAGCAAAGTGATACATTCTTTTTTTTAATATTCTTTTTCCATTATGGTTTTATCATAGGATACTAAATATAATAGTTCCCCGTGCTATACGGTAGGACCTTGTTGTTTCTCCATTTATATCTATAATAACTTTAACCCCAGCCTCCCACTCCGTCCTTCCCCCAACCCCCTCCCCCTTGGCAACCACAAGTCTGTTCTCCATGTCCATGGGTTTGTTTCTATTTCGCAGATAGGTTCATTTGTGTCATATTTTAGATTCCACGTAAATGATACCATATGGTATTTGTCTTTCTCCTTCTGATTTACTTAATACGATAATCTCTAGGTCCGTCCATGTTGCTGCAAATGGCATTATGTCATTCTTTTTTATGGCTGAGTATTTCATTGTATATATTGTACCACATCTTCTTCATCCATTCTGTTGATGGACATTTAGGTGGTTTCCATGTCTTGGCTGTTGTGAATAGTGCTATGAACATAGGCGTGCATGTATCTTTTTTGGATTAGTTTCGTCTGGATATATGCCCAGGAGTGAGACTGCTGGATCATATGGTAACTCTAGTTTTCTGAGGAACATCCATACTGGCTGCACCAACTTACATTCCCACCAACAGTGTAGGAGGGTTCCCTCTTCTCCACACCCTCTCCAGCATTTGTTATTTTTAGACTTTTTAACGATGGCCATTCTGACCGGTGTGAGGTGGTGCCTCATTGTAGTTTTGATTTGCATCTCTCTAATAATTAGCGATTGAGCATCTTTTCGTGTGCCTGTTGGCCATCTGTATGTCTTCTTTGGAGAAATGTCAGTTTAGGTCTTCTGCCCATTTTTTGATTGGGTTGTTTGTTTCTCTGTTGTTGAATTGTATGAGCTGTTTGTATAGTTTGGAAATTAAGCCCTTGTCGGTGGCATTGTTTGTTTGCAAATATTTTCTCCCATTCTGTAGATTGTCTTTTCGCTTTGTTTATGGTTTCCTTTGCTGTGCAAAAGCTTGTAAGTTTGGCTCTGTCCCATTTGTTTATAAAAATAATTTTTTTAACATCTCTAAGTCGGTACAATAAATGTAACCCACAGAGACAGAACTGTTGGGAGTTCTTGATAAAGTTTGAGAACTGCTGCGTTAAGGGTTTCTGGTCACTTTTCTCTAGATGTATGTTGCCCTCGTGAGCATTTTGCAAGCCGCAAAGAGGCAAGGACTTGGCATTAAGAGAGAGCTAGCAAGATAGTTGGAGGAGGGAGGGCTGAGTGCCTTGAAGCAAAGCCAAACCCCCGGCCTGTGCCTCTTTGCTAGGAAACAGAACATAGGACGGGACGTGGGCCCCCTATGCCGTGTACCCACATAATCACTGACTACACATTCTCACTTCTATTACTCTTCACTGGAAGGATTTTAATGTTTTTATTTCTAGCCATTTTAACCTCCTGCTATTCACATTTACAAATTTCTGATGTAGCTTTCAAATGCACTGACGTGCTCCACACTTGCTAGTCTGACCTTTGTCAACAGCAGCAGCAATAGCTTGACCTCAGATGTTTGTCAGTTGTGTACACAGATTGTCTCTGCCCGCATCAGTGGGCTGAGTAAATGACGCTGTTAGCAATAGCGACAAGGAGAGAAGGGGAGGTTTAGGGAAGGATAGGATAGGTTTAGGGAAGGGAGGATAGATCAAGAAACAGAGGTAGTAGAAGGAGAAAATTGGTGGGGTGGTATGGTAAGCATTACAGTATCAGTATGCCTGCTTTGTTCAGTGATAAGGAAAGAAGCACTTCTGACCTTTCTGCCCCTGGCAATGCAAACAATGGAAACTGGAAATGGTATTTTACTGAATATCTTATCTGTCAAGTGAAACTAGAGACATCGTTAGACAGACACAAAGTTTGTTAATATTCCTACTCTTTAGGCTATGGATTTTCTTATCAAGCATAACTGCTCACACTGTTATTTTAAGGATAATTATTTTAAAATATTAAGTTATATGTTCTAATTAGCTGCTTGTTTTAAAGGAAAATGCTGGGGTTGGCAAAGGGCTTGTTTCTGTACGTTTTTTTGGAGCAATGCTAAGCAGCTTCACCGTGATGATTTTGGAAAGGGCTTCGTACCCTGGGAAACTAATTGTTTCAACAATAATTTAGCAGGCATTAGGCCAAGAAAAGGTTTGTATGGCCCTTTGGTAATTAATTGCCCATTCCCAGGCATTCAAACTTCCTTCCCCCCACTCGTAGTACTTACATAATGTCCAGTTGTGATTTTTGTACCACAGTGAAGAGGCAAATTAGAATGGTGATCTGAGTACTGTGTGCGTGTGTAGGAGAGGGAGGTCAAAAATAGGAGAATAAGCTGAATTAGGGCCAGTGAAAGCTTTGATAGGCAATGGCTTATTTGCAGTTTCTTTGGATTTTGCGATGATAAAGTATTTGGCACTCTATAACTTGGTAATAAATAATATGTCCTAGATTATTATAAATTGTTTACACATATTTAAACAACAGTTGTCTGTTATGAGCTGTTCCACTCACTTTTTTTTGCCCAGTTTGACAAAGGAAGTGATTTTGATAAAAACCAAATTACCCTTGAGTGTGACCTGTTAGATCTCTCCTGCTCACTTTCATAATATTCTTTTAAAAGTAAAGCATATTTAAAAGCATTTTACTTAGTTGTTGAGATTGTGTATGTACCTTCTGCGCAGTCCTGTGTTCATCGGTGGTTCCAGTGGTGGTGTTTTCACGGGTAACAAATCCCTTCTGTACTGGAGGTCCAGATTTCTCAGGGTCGTTAGCGCCCAGTAGTCACTGAAGAAAGTGATTCTTAGGATGTCTCATGGAAGAGATGAGACACCTGGCCCCGTGAAGACGGTGCTTGGATCTGCCGTCACACGAACAAGTCTGTAAAAAACCAGTAGCAACCAACCAGCACTGAGCGTTTCTTTTTCCCTTTTCAGGCTTCTGGCTGTGATGGGTCGGAGATTCCCGACGAAGTGAAGCTGATTGGGTTTGCTCAGTTGAGTGTCAGCTGATGTCTGTCCCTTGATGTCGCCCTGATCTGCCATGCCTCCCCCTCGCCGTGCCCTCCCCCCAACCTTTCCCTCCCCTGCCACTTCCTCCCACCCCCTAGCAAAATCAGAGGATTGTGAAGAGGCCGGCTTCAACATAACAGGATAAAAAAAGAATTTTTTTAAACTTAACAACACTGAGTTCTGCTTTATTCTATAGCAACCCACAGTATGAGAACAAGCAAACACCACAGCTGCACGACTGTTGCTCATTTTTCCAAAAGCTATTTAATACCCTCAGCAGTCAATTCGGATCTCCCTTACGTGAAAAGAATCTGAAACACACTCAGGTGGTCCTATTTATTGGCAACGAAAGGAATTTTTTCTATCAGAAGCCTATTTCTTCTCTCATTGTTGTCCTTCCTTTCTGTTATAATACTTTATTGTACATCTGACAATACTGCCTCTTCTGTTGTATTTAGAAATTAATATAAAATTAAGATTTATTAGCCGAACTTGAATTCTAGTTTTAAAACTGACTGTGAATTTTATTTTTCATATATTTATGCATTACACACCTTAGCTAGAAGAAAGAGAAAAACGTTTTTGATTATATATGCTTCTTGCAGTTACTCTCTCGTTATTTAAACAAAAAGTTTCAGGTCTATCTTTGGAGTATTTATAACTTGTGATTTTTTGAAATGACTGAATTAGGAACTAGGATGCTTACTCTTTTTGGTTTGCCTGAAAACCAGTCCACAAGCTGATTGTCTCTTGGGAGAGGGAGGTGCCTTGCAAAAACAAAAAACAAAAAAACTTTCACATGAAGAATGTGCCTGAGGCTGCTTTACTCTGGAATAGTCTCAGCTCTAAAATTTCCTCTACATAAAGTGGCATATGTAAGTTTTGCTTCACTGGGACGTTTAGGATGCTCTATAAAACGTTGCCATTCTATTAGATTGCTAATTATGTACCCACCTCTGATTTGACATCTCCTGAAGTGATAGGATCTGTCGTTCCAAAGGTGATAAACTTGAACATATACCAGAATCCGTGTTTTACTTGAAATTCTGCAGAATACCCAGATGGAGTGAAAAAATAATAGAAAGGGTTTTGTGCAATGACCAAAAGGTAAAACGCTGTTAAGTTTCAAGAATAAATACTTTCAACCCAAATAGCCCTCTGCTTGACTGTACCTTATGGAATAGTAAACCTTAGGATTTTCAAAATTGGAGTCTCAACTTTCAGGGAGGTGGCTCCCAGATGGTAGCATTTGCTCTTTCCTAGCTAACCCTAGATACGGCAGCTCTTTAATGTACTTTAAAAAGCAAATATATATTACTAAGGACAAAAAAGTTATTTATAATTGCCTTGTCATAATTGTTAAGGTGTTCTAGAGCCATTTGCATACAATTTAATGTAATTTCATTCCATTCTATTGTTTACACAACAATTACTCAAAGATGACTGCAAAGGTAAAAGGAAAATAAAAGTGTATTATTGCACCAAGAGGTAGTGTCACATTGTTTCATTCCTCCTCTAGGCAGTGTCTGCACTGCTGCAGTGATATTTAGTGCTTCCATAAAATGCCTAGTGAGAATTAACTGGTGAAAAGTGCCCCGGAGGAAGACTAAGGCATCCATCAGGCATCCGTCCAGTCACAGAAAATCAGGTATGACAATTGCTTGATAAAAGAATGAAAGACAAACATTCACGCTCCATGTAGACAGTCTGTCTTTAAGTCAAAAAACCACAGGGCTGCAGGGGACAAGTGAGAAGAATTCCTTCCAACTGCTAAGGCAGGAGTGGTTACAGGACTTGTCCAGGGCCTTTCAGAGCTTCCTGCAGAGCTGGCCTCCTAGGGCCCTGGCTTCCTGACATCCACTGCACAACTTGTGGCCAAAAAACAGTGTAAGAAAAGACCCTCATATTCTTCTCAGAATAAAACGTACATGAGGAACTGTAGCGCTCTCTTTTGCAATATAGTAAAGAATAATACTATATTTTCTTTACGCCCATATTCCCATATCTTTCCTGATGGTATCTGAGGGCGCTTACATATATTTATATACCAAGATACAGACTTTCAAATACATAAACAAATTAGGATGAAGGGTCAGTAAGATCTGGCTAACAAGATGAATGCAGGTATGAAGTTAGGACACAGAAGTTCATGATGAGGTCCTGCACCATTGCTAGAGCAGCACACAGATTGGGATTAGAGCTTCCAACACAGCAACAGTGAAGAGGAACACTTTTTTTTTCTCTCAAGGAGAAACACGATTTTTCCTAGTTCTAAAGCCTGAGATGAAATTCTTCTTGGAAGTTCGAGTTATGTATTCAGAAACTTAAAAACTCTCAAAGCATTGATACATATATCGCAAGTTTTGAACACTTACTTACCCTTTCTAGTACTTTCTGCGGGGGCCCAGATGTGTAGGGTATATGATAGGAAATGCTGGTCAGCCAGGAGCTGAGAGTGTGATCCAAGCAGTTGCTCTCACTTGCGGTCTAGAAAGATAAAACACATTTAAAACTGAGTGGAATGAGTGGGCTACGTTTCCTGTAGGCAATGCTCTGTGACTGTTTCTCCTAATCAACCAGGCTTTTGATTAAACCTGACACATTGTGATTGTGCTCACTGGCAAAGACCTAAACTTCGCTAACACAGATATTTGGACAGCTTCACACGCTGTGACAAACAGGAGGGTTTACATTTCTTCGTAAAATCAAGGCGCTCACATCTCATACCTAAATATATACAAAAACTGTCCCACATCCCATGTGTCTCTACTGTGGTCAACTTGCAAAGATCTAAAATAGAAGGAAGTTATCTTTTTTTTTTTTTTTTTTTTGTGGTACGCGGGCCTCTCACTGTTGTGGCCTCTCCCGTTGCGGAGCACAGGCTCCGGACGTGCAGGCTCAGCGGCCATGGCTCACGGGCCCAGCCGCTCCACGGCGTGTGGGATCTTCCCGGACCGGGGCACGAACCTGTGTCCCCTACATCGGCAGGCGGACTCTCAACCACTGCGCCACCAGGGAAGCCCCAATATATTGTTCTTATATGAACAAAATGGTTTTCTGTATATAAGACAACTTTTAGAGACACCTACAAATCGTCTGTGATGAAAACTTAACTTCTTTTTCCAAATAATTATCCGTGTAAAGTTATAAATTTCCCTATGTGTTGTTACATACATGCTGGTAAATATGGTCTATCTTCATGCCTCTTCTTCATGTGGGAGTAGGGTGAAGTAGCAGTCTTTAGGGGAAGAGCCAAGAATTCTCTCAAAAAACAAATCTAGTCCCATATAGGATACTAGCATGGGAAATTTTTATATCAGGATTTTCACTCATCTCAACAGTGCACCTGTGGTCTATTTTGTGTTGAGCAATATACCTTCCTGGTGAACTCTCCAAGTTAAATTGGTAAGCAGAATCTACAGTTAAGTAATTAAATTACAGAGATGGTGAACATGAGCTAATTAACATTGGAGGACTTCTGCCCAAAGTTAGGATTTGCATTTGATAGTAAATAATCTTAGGTCTTCTTTTGCCTTAGAGGTGTATTTGATAAGAGAAGCTGTCACTTAGTGAGGCCCATTAAGTTTGTGACAGTACAGTCATACGATCAGTTTAAAATATTTATCCATTCATATAGCAGAGAGCATGCTTCTAGCTCATCCAAAAGTGGCTTTAGCCAATTATGATACAATTAAAGGAACTCAAATATATCCCCATTTTTCTGCTGCACACATTTATTGTCTAATTTGTTAGGAAATCCTAGCCCACTTCATACTCTCACCAGGACATTAAGGGGCAGGTTGGGTTTAAGTATAAGTGGTGTGCCAGGGTGGGTGGTACTAGAAACTACCCTCAGGGCCAGAATGACCCAACCTAGAACTATGTAATGCTTTCTAGGGTTCTAAGTTTCAAGAGGTCTATTACTAGGCCAAATAGGCATAAACAACTGGTTTTCAAGTGACAATTTCCATTGTATATTGGCATGAACTAAAATTTCAAGTAATGAGCTTTGATCATACGAGAGTGTTTCCTTTAAGCTGATGCAATACTTCCTAGAATTAGCTGCTTAGGATGTGCACTACCAAGAATGAGTAAAATGTTTAATGCATATGAAGAGTGGAGACTGTAAAGGCATATTTTTAAAATATTAAGTGACTGACTCCCTCAGGGATCCTAGACACAATATCAACACCCAAAAACACCACATGAAAGGAGCTGGCACTCCACTGGAATAGACACGCCATAAAAAACAGTCAAAAGTACCTGTTTCCAGAAGGTCCCAGTGGTTGCCTCAGTGCTATTTTGCCACAGAGAAAAAGCGTGGTCCAATAACAGTGATGTTTCTTTACCCGTCTTCTTATAACTTGCTCAGCAAACCTAGTCATGGCTGGTTTGGGGACCTAAAAAGAGAAAAATTTGCACTGTTAGCATACCAGCTACTGTGGATCTATGTCAAACCAATGGATGCTAAGAAAGGTACATAAAACTTCCCCACATGAACTGTAGCATACAAAATGAGCATCATTGGCTGAAGAGGTTTGCTGAACCTGTATAATGCAGCTTATAACTCAAAGGGCAAGGAACATTATTTAAAATTACCATCTTATGCTATTATTTGAATTTGCTACAGAATGAAGACAGGTATTATTGTTTAGGTAAAATGTTCAGTAAACTAATGAGTCTATAATCTGGAAGAAGTAGGATAGTGCCCTTTAAAAAATGGTATAGAGGGCTTCCTTGGTGGTGCAGTGGTTAAGAATCAGCCTGCCAATGCAGGGGACATGGGTTCAATCCCTGGTCCAGGAAGATCCCACATGCCACGGAGCAACTAAGCCCATGCACCACAACTACTGAGCCTGCGCTCTAGAGCCCGTGAGCCACAACCACTGAGCCTGCGTGCCACAACTACTGAAGCCTGTGCTCCGCAACGAGAAGCCCCTGCAATGAGAAGCCCGTCACCGCAACTAGAGAAAGCCCGTAAGCAGCAGTGAAGACCCAACGCAGCCAAAAACAAAAACCTAAATTTTTTTTTTAATGGTATAAACAACACTCCAGTCCAACCTCCACCCAGATGGACAATTTGGTATTGAACGATTCTGGCAGCAGTGCTTAGATGTGTAAAGTAACATTACGTTCAAAATTAGCAGGTGCTCAGAGTGAGATTGAGTACATTCAGGTAGATTTTTCACATACAAAAGTAGTTTTCTTCTCTCTGCAAACTCTATGGGGTTCTGAAGAAAGAAAGAAGTGAATTAAGAGGAGGAGATCAAGATGGCAGAGTAGGAGGATGCGGAGCTCACCTCCCCCCCATGAACACATCAGAAATACCTCTACATGTGGAGCAATTCTCACTAGAAACAAACTGGAGACTGGCAGAATGACTTATACAAGGCTGTGAGAGAGATCCATTCAGAGTCAGGCAGGAAGAGGGGAGAAGCAATGAGGTCAGGACCTGTGCCCCTGGGAGGGGACACAAAAGAGGAGGGGGATTACACAGCCTCAGAGATCGTCCCTGGGGAGTGAGGGGTCTGAACCACATATCAGGCACCCCATCCCTGGGGTCCAACACTGGGAGGAAAGATCCCCTTAGCAGGTTTGAAGGCCAAGGAGACTGACAGCAGGGCTGCCAGAAACCTAGACTACTCTTATGAAACGTGCATGCATGCTTACTCCCTCAACAAGGCAGTGGAAGCAGATTGAAATGACCCAGGACTTGGCTGGTTTTCTGCAACTGCCCCATTGCAGGCCCAAGGCCAAGCTGAGCACCCACCGTGGCCCCTCTTGCTCTGCAGAGCAGCTCCACACTAGGGCAAAGGCTGCTGTAGCTAAGTGCATAGCTGTCAGGGACAGAGTCTGCTCAGACCTGGCAAGGCATCCATCCTGGTGTTCACAGGGGTGAAAGATCAGTGCTCTGACTGGTGCCGGGACCACCCCAGCGCACACTGTGGCCCCTCTTGCTCCACAGCACAGCTCCCCACTAAGGCAAAGGCTGCCGCTGCGGAGCAGAGTATGCAGTCGTGGAGGGTGGAACCAGCTTGGACCCAGCACTGTATCTGAACAGGGTGAGGATGGCCATCACTGGCACTTGCAGAGGCAGCAGATTGGGAGTGATCTGGAGCTTTGACTGGTGTGGAACAGTCAAAGCAATGGAACACCCCAGCTCACACCCTGGCCTGCACGGGACACCTACTCCCGCAATGCTCCCCTGCAGGGCAAAGGTGCCCATGCTGGGAGGGAAGCGAGCACACACTTCGAGGGAACATTACCTGACCCTCAGGGCTTCTGCTCCAGCAACTTTAGACCCGCCCCCTCCCTCGATAGGGTGATGTTGGCCACTGGGCAGAGGAGAAACCCCCTGTCACACCTGGCTCTAGCTCTAGCCCTCCCCCATCTCTGCCATCTCCAAGTTCCACCTCCTAGCAAGGTGATAGCTGCCAGCACACCTGGAAGAGGAATGTGACTTATGCTCACTTCAGATCCAG